ACATTTAAGAAAAGTGGCCAGTGCTATACCAACATATTACATTAATCACTTTATCATAATATTTTTACCATTTTACTATAAATAATTAAAAATGTATAACTCAAGTACTAATACTTAATAGTAATAACAAATAATAAAATATATTATATTAACTTTTTTGATTGGTAATATTGAAATATAAGGTTATTTAATATTCATTTTACCATTTTTATAAATCATACGCCAAAATAATAGATACTCTGCTCATAATCGAATGCATTACTTTTTTTCAGTAGATAATAATTTTTCAGGTTGACCACAGAGTTTTACTATTATAATATTACTTTTAGCACCAAATGTTATTTAATACAACTCTGATCAATAAAACAATAATAATCTACCATTATTGGGTTTTTAATATTATCTTTAAGTATTATTTAACTTCTTACAATTAAAAATACTGTGATTTTTTTTTTTTTTTGGAAATAAATATTATATATATTGCGATGCGCTTGTTTCATTTCTAAAACGATAACGGAATAATAATGTTTAATTTTATTGAATAATAATATTATGAGAAAAGACGAATAATAATTATTATAGTTACTGACTAAATGTAAATGATGTAATAGTACTTACGACATTAGTCCAAACATCTATAGTAAGATTGTTCATTTTCTCAGGTAAAACACAATACCTTCTACTATCTAAAAAAATGGTATGTGCATCAACTGTAATACAATTAAATGTGTATACTTAAATAAAATATTCTCGCTGAAAACTGACCTAAATCCTAAGTCATATAATATATACCATATTCTTATTCGTAAAAGGATTAATATATTATATTATTAAAAACACGTTTTTTACTCAAACCATATCAGATATGAGCTAAAAAAATAATATTATAATCATATAATTTACCATTATAACAATTTTCTATGATACAGTACCCGGTAGATTATCTGATCCTTCCTCGATTATTCCAAATATAGTTTACAATTTTCATTTGTGATTTTCAGTCACAGTTAAAAGGTTAATGAACTGGTTATATCATAAATATAAAAATGGTAGACGTAACTATATAATAATAATAATAATAATACACTACACAATAATAATCCAGTTTACAACAATCTTTTAAAAAAATATGAATAATTTCAAAATGTTTTGTTTGAATTTGGTCGAAAATATTTTTAATAAAATACGGGAACCACTTAATAATTTATTTTAAACAATTACATAAATTATTCGTTAATAATTAAATACAATTTATTTAAGTCGTGAGTTTTAGTTTTAGTTACAAAAATGTACGGTACAAAAATAACAAAACACATTTCGTTTTAAGTGTATTGCCCCTAACACATCACGCCTATAAGAAATTTCGTACTCAAAAAATAACAATCAAAAGGGTATACTAGTGATTTTAAGAAGATAATATTACTAAAGAGTGAAAGAAAAAATATATTTTAAATATTGTATTTTTATGGATTTTCTTCAATATCATTATCAAAATTGATAACAAAAAATAAAAGAGAAAAAAATGCATGTGTACTTTTTTGCGTTGATTACATTATTTATACCAGTATGATAATGTTTAATTTCTTTACATCTGGAAAAAACTGGAACACATTGTTACAGGATTGATATCCCGGAAAAGATAACTCAGTAAAAGACATGTTTTAGTAAAACTTTTTTTAATTACAAAACAATCAATAAAAAACCTACTACAATATTATTTATTATTGAACACTTTATTTTTTTTAAAAATGTTTTTCATTAGATTATATTTACTAGAATGCATCTATTTTCAAACAAACATTTTTGTTACTTTTTAACGACATTCAGTCAATTTTAGTCACTTTTTTCTGACGCATTAATTAATTGCAACCCTGTTCTTCCATAATATTTGTTTGAGGTCATAAACATAGTTCATGTATAATTTGTTAATTAATTATAATAATTAGGAAAGATTATTGAATTATTTTCGTTGTAAATATTTTTTATTTCTTGCCAAAAAATGTTTTGTAAACATTTTTAATGATCATTATACTTTATTATACTATGTGTGTGTTGTAAAGTTCAATGACTTATAGGTAAAATTATTTTTAAAATGTAGGTATTAAACACTGTGAGTAATAACATTAATTAATATAATTTTATATTTATTTAGAATAGACATTGAGCAGACATCTATCGATACACAGGCAGTAGTAAAGGGCCGGTACAATGTGATATTCCTTTATATTATATTGGTTCATTATAATCTCCGTGAATGATATTTTCCAATGCTAACGCACTGCCTAACATTATATTATTCTAATTGAGGATGACTCTGTAATAAAGACATTTATAGTGTTTTAAATCCGTTATGGAATTCACGATGACGAGTTGCTTTGGTTTACTGGCAGGATAAGTTTCATATAATACCATCGTTCCTTACACGGCCGGTGTAGGTAAGTAATCCTTTTTAAATTAAAGTAAATTCACAGCACATGCACCAAACTAAATATATACACTGGATTGGACCCTCGTAAAACGTTAGATGTTTAATTCGTTACCGTTCTTACACTTTGGTACACTGTCTCATATAATGTGACATAATCACAGTTTTCCCAGTTACTATAAAAGGAAAAATAAATTTAAAAAACCAAAATTTTAAATGGTAATGTATGGGTATTATAATATAAACTTATTTGATGTTACTACTACATTTTCCAGGCTCACCAGAAGTCAGTCGTTAAATATGCAACCGATTGAAAATATTATACTTCATATAAAAAAAAATGTTTATAATGAGTTTTTGTAATATTTTCCTTCGACAATATTGCGTCAACAATAAATGTGAATCTTAAAAAACTAAAATATGAGACAAATTCCCATTTTTTATTAAAAAATAGAATAAAATAATTTTTTTATGAAAATATTGCAATAACGTTAGAAAACGTTATTAAAAATATTTTATGTCATATTTAAAAAATATTTTTAGCTAATTGGGACAATGCAGTTGAAATTTATACATTTTATTGCGTTAAAACTGTTTTAGGACAACACTGTGAATAAATTAGAAGAGTCATATTAAATAAAGTTTCAGAAAAAAATTAAGATTTGACTTAACTAGTTTTAACCAGGATTTGACTGGATTATTAAGTTAAAACGATGCTGTTTTCCGTACAATTTTAACGTTTATATTTTGGCCTAGTAACTGACTATGATATTTTAGCATAAGTAGATAAATATATAATTAACCTTTTTCTCAGCAAGACTAATTTTCAAAAGTGTTTCGTGACGTCAACCGATGACTTTGCTATTAACGTACATTTGTTTTTTTTTTTTTTTATATAGCACAGACACAAGTACATGGTTTTATCCGTGTAATAGTCGGTACTCAGCCGCGGCTTGAGTGATTTATATGTTACACAGACAGCATCAAGTTTATGGAATAAAACGCGAACCTAATGTAGTCATAATGTTTTGACAGAATGAGTACACGGGTAACGTCAGCTAAAACGAATGTAATTGCGCGACTGAAAATCGTAATACTTACTATAAATTTTACATAAGTGATTCATTAGAATAACGTACAAACTTTTATATGGTAGGTATATAACCTACCTTATCTTGGTTATATAATGACTATTATGACTTAAATTTTATAGAATAGTTTAAACAATTGTTTACTAGTTTTATCGCTCATTAGACAAAAGTACTTCATAAACGTGCATATTATTATTATCAAGCCATTTCATGTTGAACTAATACACAAACGTTTAGTGGAGTGATTTATATGTTTAAAATAAAGAAATATAAATAACAAGCTTTAGAGTTGTGTAAACATCTCTAAACATAGTTAATTGTTATATATACACGAGGATGACATTAATAAAAACTTATCGACGTTCTAACGATTCATTTTTTTCAATGATTATTTTTTGGTTTACACCAAGTAAACAAAAGACAAATTTCTATAACTTAAATAATGACTACAGTTTTAAAGTGATTAAAAAAAAAGGTCTTCGAGGAGACACCGTTTAAGTTTCCGGCTTTTCAAAAAACTAAATTTATATTCAGATTTAAAAGAACAATGATCGGTTGACCGTTGAAGACATTTCGTATATCCTACACACAACACTTGACCCATAATTTGTATTTTATCCCTTCGCGATAAACTAAACTCGATTGCCAGTTAAGGTCTAGGTTAAGAGGAAAAGCTTAGCTTTTTTTCGGATGGCCATTACCAAAAACACCCGAAAGGGTGGTTTCCGTCAAACGTCAATCGATCTGATATTTGTGTTGCTACCAAAGGGCAAATGCTCGACCGCCAGCGTTCTCGCGGTAAGCTGATCACCTAAATTTTTGGAAATATTTAAAGTTAAAAATGTATAAATATTTCAATTTTTGCATAAATATTGTTAATAAGTACAGCTAATGCGATACAAATGTAAATTGCTACGAATTTTCAACTTTCAGAAACACCCATGTTTTCAAAAGTGACGTTGTACCGTGGCCGTTGGTTATAATTTTTATTGGAGCGTGTAGAGTTTTTAAGACGTTTAAAGCCAAGGTCACAGCATAGCCCAAAGTGGACAATAGTGGGTGTAGTAATAACTTATCCGGGGTTTCGTCGAACGTTTGTATACTTCTACATAATAACAATAATAATAAATTCGAGGTACCGGTGGTTGTTTTTTCGAGTTGACAAAACGTTCGTCACGATCCGGGGCGCATTCCCGAGACGCCGGCACCCTCAGAGGAATACGTTTGTGTTTATTTTAACAGAGGTCTTTAAAAGGTAACCCAAAATTGAATAAAAAAAAAAAAAAACCTAAAACAAACCGAAAATTCATAGACGGCGGCGGCGGCCAACCAATCCTCATCGGCCCACTTTTTTTCTATATACACACCAGCCGGGTTACACACATGCACTCACATTTATACAATAACAATCATTACGAAACTGGTTTACCCGGGTTAAGACGGCGGCGGCGGCGGTAGTTGCAACTAAGACCGTCGTTCAAGAGCACAACCGTAACCGCATCACATGCCGTCACAGAAACTCCAACCACTCTTATGACCGAGTGCGTGTCTGTCGCGCGCGTTTTACCCGTCGGTTCGCCGTGCGTTCGTCCCGGTATAGTACGTACTAGTAATTTACTATAGGTTTTGTTTTTTTTTCTTAAAAAAAGTATATATTAAACCTATATACGAATAATTTTGTTTTTTTGTACCCGCGTGTGTCCGTGAGCGTTTGTTCGGTTCGCATATGTCAACCGTCGCTAGTTTCGGACTGATAATATAAATGGTCAAAAAAGCATCGAACGCCTCGGACTCCAACATGGTAAGCCTTTAAAGATTTTAACTGTTACTTTTCATCGACATACGTGCGAAATTAAGAGATGACAACCAAAGGATACAAATAAGTGGCATTTTTTAAAAATATTCGAAAGGCTGCGGGGAAAAAAGATCAATGTTAATTTTTTTTTGAAAATGACATTTTGGTATCAAATTATTTGTATTGACGTATTGTATCTGTAACAACCGCCGAAAGTTTAGGCAAACAGGCAAAATGTATTACGTTTTGAAATTAAAAACATGATTTTCTCAGAATGAACAAAAATTGACACTGATCTTTTTTCCCCGCAGTCCTTCATTTGTCAACAAACCATTTATCTGCCCGCGTTAGAATTTTTCATCGATTTTCGAGGGAGACACTAAAAAAAAACTGCGAACATCAGCCATAAAAATATTATTTTATTTTTCCATCCTGTAAAATTGTATACAAATCACTCGAGCCCTTTTGGTTCTCCCCACTTTAATTCCACTCGCATTATCAACTTACATAGCCTTTGTGTATTTTTATTTAAGCCGGAAATGCTCCAAGTCCAATCGCAAAGGTCTCAATTTCCACGCGCACATTCGATATTTTTTTTTTTAATTTTTGGTGCTTCATTCTTTCTACTTAACCCGAACCAAATCAGTCTAATATGTTCTCTCTCGTTTTCTGCCCTATGGCCTTTGACCTGAATATCACTGAGAACTTGCACCTTTGTAATAACTAATAACTTTACAAAATCATTAAAACTAAACTGGATATGTTACACTTTAAAGGAGCTTTATCGGATTATTAAATTAGTTATATGAAGCGTTGTAGGAATAATTTAAAATCTTAAGTAATAGGTACCATATTTTAATAATTAATCACTCGCCTAAACCTTTTTTTTTTCTATTCTACGCAGTGATTTGTCAGACGTGTTACCTTGATTTAATTTAAGTTACCTCTCTAATCCGATTATCGATAACAATATCATTATAATATTATAAGCGTGCTTAGGCATCGATCAAAACGCCCATTGCGATTAGACATAAGTACGCCATATTTTATATTAGTACTAGGTATAGGAAGTTAGATTTAATTCGGTTAACGAGCACACGTTGCACGGGTCGTGTTTATCATTAATTACTAATTATTATGGTAATTTCTAATAAAACTGCCGCTTTGTGATCAAAAACAGCATCTCATAGACTAGGGTACTAAAAAAAATTATTCTCATTACAAACGTCATTTAAAAAGAAAATCAATGATTTAAAATTCCTTATTTCTTTAGTTCCTGTATAATAATACTGAACGTTATACTATTACCGGCCCTAAACCGTTTGTTATGTACGTTTAGTTCGCCCAAGGAAATTATACAGACACCGCGCACGATCATTAATCAACGGGTAATAAAAATCTAATTTATATCTATAAATCCGTACATGAGACCGACCTAAGACCGATGTCTAGCTATTAGAAAAATAAATCGTTTATATAACTCTAGTGAATTCATTATAGTAAGCTGAGTGGTAATATTATAATGACCAGGGCCCAAAGAGGTATAGACCTTTATCAAGTAAATCCCAAAAAATTGGTCACAGTTACAAAATGAATCTAAAGAACAGTTATCGAAAATATAAAAATTCTATTAGAACAGTAATTTAAAAGTTCTAACAACAGAAACATGTTAAAAACACAAAAATGTAAATATATGTTCTATTATACATTTTGATATATGATCAACTAAAAATTTAGTGGATTTATTTTATTGGATTTGCGGTAAAATGATTTTCTTTTAAATTTATTTTATCTCACTTAGTAATTCGTTATTTTTTTACATAATTCATAATTATTCATATTGCAGTTGTATATATGGCATAATAAATTATTTAACTAGCATAAAATATCATAAAATATATTTTTTTCATCTAGATAAGATAATATGTGTATTTTCTAGAACTTATCTAGATTAGATAAATTATTTGTTGAATTTATCTAAATGAAACAATCTTAGTCAAGGCCGTCTTGGGCTATGCAGGGGCCCTCGGGCACACAGAGTTTGGGGACCCCCATCAGGCGGGACTCCCTGGGCTCGTGCTTTTAGGCTAAAGATGGAACTGATCTTAGTACTCATTTCATATTAACAAAATCATGATATCCATTACTAAAAAGTTTTACAGTAGTTGTTTGTTTGTGGATTTTTGGTTAAGTGCAGGTGTAACGTGTGCCGTTGTTGTTATTGATATTGCACTATTGAAAACGTAGACGGTAAAAAAAAATAAAACGATAATAAAATAATATACACACGTTAACCCTTTCCTTATTTCACGGATAGGGGGGGGGACAGGGGGGTTGGGTAATAAAATTGAAGACGCGGCTTCATATTATATTAGTATTATTTTTATTATATCTGCAAATGGCGATGCCGGTTCATAGTCGTTACTATGGTCGATGGCCGATGGTCTGGATAAGATAGGAAAAACGTACAGACAACCGGGTCAGATTTTTTTATTTCTTCCACTGGCGATAGTGGAATTTTTTTAAACTGTTCAATAATCAACGGCGTCTAACCGTCGAGCGGTCGTCAAATATTCTAAATAGAAACAGTATAATAATTACACGTTAGGTTATGATAATTTATATAACGCCACAGGTATAACACTACACGATGCCTACCTCACGGTTTGTTGCGATTATTCGGATAACGGATATTATACATCATGTTAGTCCATAACACGAGTGCGTTTCAAACGAAAAAAAAAAAATCTTAAATCGACCGGATAACAGCTTTCGGCACGCTTGTCGATACTATACAATAATTAATACACATATTTATAATTATTATACATAATATAACAAGTTACTGGTTTTACGCAATGCGCCAACGAGCAGATAATATCGTTTTCTATACAACCGATGCCAAGAGATATACCTGAGTACTGTAACATACGGGTTCAAGGTAGTGTTAAGTATAACGTTACAATGTGTAAGACTTTCACCAGAATTAGCCAAGTCCCATAGTTTATCCTGTATTTTATTCATTATATGTTGCTTAAAAGTTTTCGGATATGTGGACACAATCATTTGAAAAATGCTAATATGCAGATGTCACATACAAGTATCGATCTAAGCTGCTAAAAATCACTTAATTTTATAATAAACATTAAAAATATAATTGAAAAACTTTAATGTCATAACTTGGGCCTATACTGTTATGAGCTTATGATTTTACTATGTAAATTAACATACAACTTAAAATCAGAATATTATATCTAGAATCAAAAAAAAAATAATAATAATAAAAGTATATCATTCTCTCACAACACTACAAAATCAGATATAATCAACTTCAAACTCTTATTTCAAAATAATATTTTTATCATTTAATCGTTTATTTTACATAATATAATGCAAGTTTTTCTGCAGCTTTTACTAAACCACAGTTACTACGCGTAAAGTAATATTTTAAAAGTTTCATTAAACCTTTTTGTAAATAATAAATGCATTATGTTTACGAATAATACATAATACAAAATTTGAAACAAACGACGAATAACAAAATATAATATCGTCATAAATAAACAAACTATAAATAACTTAATAAAAGAAATTTTTTTTTTTTTATTGAAGTATTGGTGGACATTAGCTCTGCGTCATTATACGGTTATTACATTTTAGATGCGAATAAGTAAGTAGTAATTATCAAGGCTGCACGTAACCAAAACGGTTTAAAACACCCGAGTATTAGCCCGAACGTGCTATGACCGCTGAACTATTACAACGCGGTAAGGTCAAAAAAAAATACTTGAGAAAATATAGACTTAAGAATTATGTCACGGTCCGCGCGTACAACCGGAAGCCGGTATATAATACACCGCCGTGCATTCAACTCGAAACCTTTCGGACAAGTGTTTTTTTTTAACTGTTCATTAAAAGAATTAATAATACCAACACGGCGGTCGGTCATTAGGGTTTCGGGAGCGTCTAAAATAACACCTTACTATTACCGCGACGTTTAAACTTTATATACGGAATGTTGCGTTGTTGTCATTCACTTGTTGGGCGGCTCATAGCACGCGCTCTGCAATGTGTACACTACACACAATCCATTATTCTGCAAACCCGAAACATACAGAATGATTCATTAAAGTGTAGAGGCGGATCTAAGAATGATAAAAGGGAGGGGCTAGAAAAAAATTCACTTTAAATATATATATAATCAGAGCTAACGTTTACGTAGTAAAAAATTCTATAATATTATTATAATAAAACAAATACACTTTAATAATGGCTACAATTTAAGTACGTAAGGGGGTGGCTTCAGCCCCCATAGCCTCCCTCGTATCCGCTCCTGTTAAGGGTAAGACACTAATTTTCTCATAAAATAATTGCAATTTTATAGTTTTTTTTATTTTTTTCAAAACTACAAATGTTCTAAAAATGTCGCAGTCTTTTCTATAGTTCTATCAACTTTTGAAACTTAAACGCTAACGTGTATATTTAATTAACTTTTTAACTTTAGAACAGTTTGCTGAATATTTTGATCGATCGCTAACCAGTTTTAGATAATTACTTTTAAAGTTTAAAATTTAGAATGGGAGGAAAGCTGGAGTGGAGTATTTGTTTTTCTGCGTGGGTTACTCAATTGCTCTCCATATCCTTTCCTAATTTTAAACTTAAATAACTTCAAAAGTAATTATTCAAAACTGGTTATCGACCATTCAAAATGTTCGGCAAATTATTGTTAATTTAAACATTTAACTAAGTATTATATACGTTACCATTTGAGTTAAGAAAGTTGATAAAACTCTGGATGGAAATAGAAAGGCTAAACATTTGAGTATTGTTTCATATTGTGAAATACTATAAAGTGTCTCCAAAAAGAAAAACTACAAAATTGCAATTATTTTAAGAGAAAATGTATATATATATATATTATAGTGACGATTTTAATTGTTGTCAATGTCGACCACGAGTGATTTTAAAACCAAAAAAAAAACAAATTTTCCTCGAGGACAAGGAAA